CCACATAACCACAGTGTGTCAACAAAAAGTGGAAAAAAACAATATAATACAGCAATTAAAAGACGTGAAAAAGAACAGTAACATCAAAACCAATAGCATACCCGGGTGTTTATGATTGATTTAGTTTAGCGTTTTGCGCAGACTTCCTGCAACGAGTTCATGGTTTGTTAGAAATCTGGCGAGATAAAGGACAATAGACCGCCTGTAAGCTTCAGTACGTATCGTCATAAGTTTGTGAATGGAACGGGTGGATGAGTGAGAAAGGCACTGACTAAGGGCGGAATAAAGAGGATGGAAAATATTAAATAAAATCTTGTTGGAGAATGTTTTACAGGACTTGATGTGATGTGTCACCATATAATGTACCAGATGTTCCCGTGGTATGAGACTACAAACTGACAGAAATGTAAGGGATCGGGAAATGAGTTTGAGGTCTTTGGTAAAAGTACCAGGGAAGATAACAGGGGATCCATAAAGCCAGTGAGGCAAAACGCACGCAAAAACAAAACGCCTTATGAGACTGTTTGGAATGGAAAGTGATTTGAGACGTGAAACATAAAACGTGGGCCTGCTGACCTTCAGAACAACGTCATTGACGTGGTCAGACCAGGTTAAGTTACGGTTAAAAATAACGCCAAGGTATTTGAGAAACGGTTGTCGTTCCATCTGGTCACTGAGGATAGCTAAAGGCAGGCTGGCATTTGACAATTTATCATACTTTTACCCTTTCAAAAAGGAAAAAAGTACATCACTACATTTTTGGGGGTTCACGCCGAGGCTCCTTTGTTGAGACCACTCAACTATTTCCGACACGTCTTCTTGTAGAGTGGTTTGAAATGATAAGTTGTTGTAGGGCAGTCCGAATATTATGTCGTCTGCATACTTAACGGGAAGGGAAGAATTGCTCTCAGGCCTAGAAGAAAGGTAAGCATTAAATAAAATAGCGCCTTGCAGTACGCCTTTTGAGAAGGGCAGCAGGGGAGATGTATGAATTTCGTAGCGTGCGAACTGCTGACGGTTGGAGAAATAGTTGGCCAGGAGTTCGATCTTAGAAGGTTGAACTCCGCCCGAAGAGAGGGTATTTAAATTTGTCGATCAATTGTGTTGAAAGCATCACCGCAGTCAAGAAAACATATGCGTATAGCCTTGCTTCTCTTATCCAGGTTCAATAAAACAGTGGGACAGATAAGCAAGGGCATTCAGGGTACCACGGGAATGGGTGAACGCAAACTGGTTCGGATCAGCAACATTGAATTGTGCGGACAGGGTCTTAAGGAGGAGCTTCGCAAATACCTTCAACACAACTGGGGTGCAGGCAATGGGACGGAATTTTGAGGATCCTTTCTTCGGTACAGAGGTGATAGAGGCTATTCTCCAGCAGTCGGGTATAAGTTGCTGCGACATACAATCATTGAAAAGTTTACTTCTTACAGGGGGAAGGAAGGCAGCACATTATTTCAGGACAGCGGTTGAGACTCCGTCGGAGCCGCATGACTTGTGAGGATTTAGTTGAGCCAACTCTTGATAAATAGCGACAGGTGCAACGCTGGAGACGGGATCAGTGGTGTTTATTTCATATCCATTAGGTAGAGCAGTGAGAGTGTGTGGTGATCCAGATATAGGTGACCGCATTCCAAGTATGACCAGGTACAGCTTCATGTCATCCAATCACCCTTAAGGAAGCTCGGTCAATGATACACCGGGCGAACATTACATCCGAGTTAATACGTATGATGCGTCGGTGCAAACGGTTACGTGATTGGAGGACGGTCGTTTAACCAATCATATGGACTATTACCTTCTTCTTTAAGACATGATCTAATTCCATCAATAAACATAAGCATTTGGTGCTATCAATTCCTCGTGTATTTTATTGGTGTCCGCAGTTCTGGTTGGAGCCAATCCAGTTCTGAGCATTACACTACCGGTTCTCGTATTCCTACATTCAATACTATTCTGATTACCACAGTGCCTCAGTCACATCCCGATGCCCATGACATCCTTATTGTGTACCTTGCTAGTACGATAGTGCGATTACTTCGCCGTTTCAGATAATCTGGTACTTTTTGTGAGGCTCATGTTGTCACGTCCAGTCTATTTGTCAGGTGATGGCAAGCCTGCTGATTTTCACTGGGCCTGCTAAACAAGATGTGTCTTCTCGTTGGGGTTAGCTGCTCAAGCACCAGGTCCCTTGTTGCGGCTGCATCGTCCGACTGATACATGAACCCGATCGGTCGTGTGATTTTCGGGCTGACATAGGAGGAGGATAAGTTCTAAATCTGATGCTGCTTAAGTGTTGGTAGAGATCACCACAGGAGAATCAGTTATGGAACAATGCGCTACGTGGGAGATTCGGAATAAAAAACGTTTCAGGGATGATGACACTGGGCCAAAATTTGACTCATCTAAGATACTCACACTATTTTTCTACGCGGGTTCGGTAAACGGATTATCATAATAAAACTGAACTTGTCTTAAGTACGGACTACAATATCCACTTATATAGACCAACGCAAAACTCTCCTTGAAATTTTAACAACTGGCTTTTTTCGCGTTGAACGATTTTGCTAACTATGATGGAGATAGAATTGCGGAGGAGAGACGACTTAAAATGAAAGATGGACAACTTGAAATGATATATTCGATGAATTTTAATTGCAACAGGTATAGAGCAGACACTCTGCATGTAATCGATGGTGCCTTGGGAAGAAAACATGACTTTTGTGTTTGGCAATCAGGCCGGTAATTTCTACTGCCCCTAAAATTCACAACATTGGTGATATTTTCCCTCCTATTGGCTGAAATTACTTATTCGATCCCTCGTGTGATCTACCAACGCACTTAGCGGGTCGATTTCCTCGAATGATCAAAATGGAAAGAGCGATTCAATCTACCACGTGGATGATCGATGTTTCCAACATCTAAACAACTCAGAAATTGAAAAATGAATCTTAAGTGAAATTAATTCTTGCAACGGCGTATGATTAGGGATGTGCAAATGAAACCAGAGTGACCTCACACCTGATTGGTTGAGCCTATCTATTTGACGGTGTTTCACTACCGTCTGAAATGTTTTCCGGTCCTTGGAAACAAGTATTCATATATAAATGATGTACCCTCGCTTGTATTGTATCCTGCAAGCGTATTAGTAGGATCAAAAAGAAATTTTAAATTACACCCGATTAGTTCAGTTTTTGCAACCGTTAACCATACATTTTCATGCGCTTGTTTTGGATGCTGTCTTTTGGCTACCATTTGGATGAAGACTAGGAGAAAGATAAGATGGTTGAAAGTAGAGTCGAACAGAAAATGGAGAATTTCAGTGATCTAGGGTTGCAAAGAGATTGAGAAGGTGCACGAACATCATTGTTTACGACACTCAGTCATATCACACAGTGTCTCCAACCGTCGGTTACGATCATCCCGAGGTCCCCAGCCAGGGAGCCTAACGGGACCTATGGGACCTAGTACCCTGCTTAGGGATTTCATACTCTCGTGCCAGGTATTCGGTTGACCACCCTTGGTTTTTTCCACCCACTACCTGCCTCGGCAAACATCGCTCGCCGTGGCAACCTATTTGGTGATATGCGTAACACATGCCCCAACCAACTTAATCTATGGAGGTCGACCCCAATAAGGATCCGCACTGATTCCCATTACTAGAAAAGTTTAGAGGTTACACTATAAGCGTGCACGATTTAGAACAAATTAAGGAAGATTAAAAATTATAAATGAGCAATAAATCGCATTTGCGACCAACATAACTTTTTTACCACAGAGAACAATAAATAATAAATCTAATTCGATCACTCGAATTAAAAGGATTTAATCAGGATAAAATCATGAAAGATAAAGCCCGAAACTGCGAATTTTGCTTATTTTTTCAGATGAAAAGTTTACTTAGTCTGAATGAGAAACACCATGTAGTTCAAGTAATCACCATACTAAGCGCTCCGATTTCCTTTTCTCTTTCATCGCACCTGATCATGTGATGCATATGCTAATGTCACCTATCGATCGGTTTGAAGCCCTGAAGATCAATACCAATTCGTTCACCTGGTTGGTTCTTGACCGGTTTACGACCATCATGCGATCTGCTTAATCCATCCCACATCACTGTGATGCTAACTTCAAAGCATGACCGAATTTACACCATGAATAATCCCTATCACAATTTAGCAAAATCACATGGGTCACGTAGTTCAACTACACATACCACTACCAATGCAGAATCAGCCGGTCGTCGAAAACCATGGAATCCGAGTGTACGGATAGACCAATCATGGGTGACATATCAGACACCGATAAATAACAAGACTAAGAACTATTTAAAAGATCGACTCACGCGTGGTGAACAGAACAAATCGATAACAAGGAAATCTCAACCATGGACTTTACCATTCCCCTATGTGCCCAAAGAACACAGCCCTGCGGGAGAAATTGTTTCGGACAAAAAAGACCTGAGTGATATTCCACCGATTACAGAAGACCAAACAACTGTGCGTGATCTGACAGACGAACTTGTGCCAGTCATGTCTACAGCACCTGTCGGAGTGGATTCCACGCACAAAGGTCCTCGAATTCAGTCGATCGAGAAACTTGTCCCGAGATCCACACATCAAAATCCGGAGCGTAAATCCGCGTCCACAATGGCAGCCCCAACATCGACCACTGAGTCCGCCAGTTCAACCGTCAATCTATTACTGTCCACTTGTGCAGATTTGGAAAATCTGATCTCACGCATTTGTGTCTGGTATGTGAAAGCACGCACCGCGATCGATACGATCCACAGTCAAACTGATCCGAGAGTAAATAATCAGGTACTATATGCTCTCATCTCAGACTATTTGAACCAATTGCAAACATTATTGGGCACCTATCTGCCAAACGATCTATGTATTACACGTTGGATGCATACCATATCCCACGGAAATAGAAATGACACCGGATTAACTCATGCATCCTCATCTGTCGTGTTTGTGGAGAGCCAGTCTGGGGATAAAAACTCCATCCAAGACAGATGGGTTCGGGCAGGGAACAGATATGTAAGAGGTGAAAAATCTGAGGCTGTCGAGGATTCAACGAGTGCCGATATTGGTCGGCATTTACCCACTCCTTGGGTGACAGTACAATCCACACAAACTCAAGGTGTCGAAACTAGTGTGCTAGATCCGATATCTACTCAAAGTACTGACCCCAATCTGATGTGTCACATGGAAGGGGATATCAATACGAATTGCTGTTCAAGATCTGTTCGGTTAGATTCGCATGCATACACCGGGCAGTTTACTTTCTGTCGAAAGTCGACAGATATGAGTGACGAGAATACTAATGGAAACAATGCCTCCCAAACACCAGGCATTTTACAGAATTTGTTCGAACTCTATCACGACGGTCAAATAACGCATAATTCAGCTCAAGGGGTGGGCAGAAATGAACAACGTCGAATGAGAACAGTTGAGCTCCCGTACAAATCAGATAAACGGAAATGTCGGATGGATTGTTTGGGTCGTATTATTATACATCAAGCATGCCAAATTTTCTATCCAATTGTTGAATGGATTACGTCTGACGAATGTGCTGTGATCGAACAAGTTCGAATTCCCAGCTGTCGAATCATACAACAGTACACTTCGGATCAGCCGACCGGCAACGTCTACGTCTATCATAGTTCACCAAGCTGGGTGTTGCGTAGCCATATAGAATCAGTTGTTGTCGAAAGTCATCATTGTCCAGAGCGGGTTCTTATTGTGGAGACAGTTCCAAGACGTGAACCAACTATGGGTTGGATGGTCTCACCGGACACCATGCCCTCGGAGAACAGATGGTCAGATTCGACCGTACAGGTCGTACCCTCATGGATAGATGGTCATTCGTTGTTTTCACTTCCCGCTCCGCCAGAAGAACTTCTGACCGAGTTGGAGGATTATATACCGATGTGTGAGCCGGAGTTGGTTGACTGCGTACACGATTATGAAAATAAACTGGAAATGACAGACGACGGTTGGATGAGTACAGTGATGCAGAGAACACTGGAGAGCGGAAAAAAACCATGTACTCCTTATTTACTTTGGAAATGTGGTAGCACGAGAACAGATTCACATTTAAATGACTACATATGTCCTGTTGATCTTTGTCTCGCTTTGACTTGACCGTGTAAGTTAGTGGAAACATGGCACTGGGAGGGGGTGGGTGGGGTGAAACGGGAATCGAAACAGCGTCGACTATCGATCCACCGTAAAATCATTCCGAATAGGTGTCTTGAGGGCACCTTGAAACAAAGTAGTAGCAACTGGAACGGATCAGATGTGGGCTTGTCTCAAATGAACAACTGATTTTCATGGAACAGGTTGTACATCAGTGCATGTGAACAAGATATCATTTAGCCAGAGCACGAGGTGAAAACCTGTAACTGTAGGCATGAGCAAAAGGCAATGGTCTATGTTTAATCGGAAAACATGAATTACTTGTTTTTCTCGTCCGAGTGGAAGTGGCCATCGCAATATAAAAGTGAACAGCCCCGGTGGCAAATCCTAAATGTCCGTTGAAAGATTGAGGTAGACTGTAGGGAAAAGATGACGAGTTAGACATCGTTAGAATCGTTTGACCTGTCGTTCATTCTGGTCCGCTTCCTCCAAACACTAATCATAGCAGATCATGTCCAACGACTATCCGTCTTCGACAACTGTTGACGGCGCAACATCGCCCGCGCATAGTGGGAGCATCGCATGAATAACGGTGAGGTCAAACGACATGTGGTAGGGTTAGGTAGTCTTCAATTGGGCGAAACCATTATACTGTATCGTCTTAGGGGGCTGGAACACGTCCTACGAGTGCTTAAACAACGTCTGCCGTACCATTCGCTATTTGCAGACATTGGTTCGGGTTAGAAGAAACAGCGAGGTTGTCAGGCTGTGAACTTGCGTAGAGGGCTGAAGAGATTGTGCTCAGATTTGCCTTCCGTCGGGGCCTCCTGGCAACCCGGCTGGGGCCTCCAAGATTCAGATAGTCTTTGGCTGGAGACGATGTGGGATGCAGCATCGAATCGAGGTCGGTGGTGCGAAAGCACCCTTTCCTGTGTGAGATTCCAAAAGTAAATCACACAAAAACGTCAAAATACTGTGCAGCCAACAAGCAAAAGTTTGTTATCCCCAAAGCGGACTCTGCTTTCTTCCCTTTTGTTCCTACATTTCGCATTTTGGCGCCGTATCTATACAGGTTGGTGTCGTATATATTTCATAATAAGTGGCATGTGAAGGACTGGACGAAATTCACGGTTTCGTAGTTCTTATAGCTCGTCAGGCATACGTATCGGGTAATCTTTTGCCAGTTCATTTATATACTTGTACCCAAGAAGTGTATTTTCGTCACAATAACCTTGTTTGCAACACCGGGTGACCATTGGATAGACAGCTCTTTCAGAGCAAGTCCATTGGAGAATCAATGCCATGATTCGATGTTTTGTAAGTGGGTTAGATGCTACTAACTGCAACAAACGTGACCTTATGGTATTCATTCGCATAATACCTATCATTATATATATATTGCGAAGTATGATGAAAAACGGACTAGATCCATATTTTTGGCTACCCTGGGTGAATCAGTGGATTATCGGATTACCGAATATGCATGCCTGAGGGCGGCAAGAACCGCGAAACCGATCGTGTGCCTCCAGGGAAATTTTGTCTAGTCATTCACATACTACTTATTGTGAAATATTCTTCAAAGACCATCAGGTCACGCTTGTTGCGGTTAGTAGCATCTAACCCACTTACAAAACATCGAATCATAGCATTGATTTTCCCATGGACTAGCTCTGAAAGGGCTGTCTATCCAAAAGTAACCCGGTTTTACAAACAAGGTTATTGTGACGAAAATACACTTCCTGGGTACAAGTAAATGAATGAACTGACAAAAGATTACCGGATACGCATACATGACGAGCGGCAAGAACCGCGAAACCGGTCGTGTGCTTCCAGGGGAATTTTGTCCAGTCATTCACATACTACTTATTATCATATATATATATATATGTAGAATCAGTCGACTTTCCACTTCAGCAAAACCGAATATACACAGAGAGTGTTTCTTTCCAGTCTATAGCGCTCCATTTTCTATTCGACTCTATTGTCAACTCTCCTGTCTTTCTCCTACCGTTCATCCAAATGGGCATCCAAAAGACAACAGCCAAAACCGGCGCACGAAAAAGCATGGTTACTTGTTGTTCAAACTGAAACTGAATAGCGCTCAAGTAGTGTCACCACCTCTTAGGTATGTTACAGTAGTTACTACGCAACTATCTAAGTAAGAAAAGCAATGAATCATAGTAAAATCCAGAAAAATTGGTCTGAATGAATAACTGCTCATCCACGTTCATTGTTGCACATTATTTTGCATCACCTGAGACAAACCTCAATACATAGGGTTTAGGATTACGCCCCATTATTCTCATACTCTCATATTGATGAGAATGTTAGTATTTTCAAGAATAGGACTTGTCAGCAAGATCCTATCCTGCATGAATACGTCACAAAATAGCTTCAGACATCTGCAGAAGGTTTCTCTTTTTATTGGATGCCCCGATTATCCTGGTAAACGCGTCCATTGGTTTCGATTTTTATCTTTTGGGAACTGATTTAATGGTGGATAAACAAGTGATAAAGCATTCGTTATGAATACCGTAATTCCTACGCGTGTGCCGAAAAAATTACGGTGAAACAATCTTTATAATAAAGAAATCCGTCCATGGTTTATGTGTGGGTGGAATGGTGCCAGGTTGCCCGAGTTAAGAAGCAGAACAACTTTATTGAGGAATTCACAACCGGAGCCTTCGGTTAAGCAAAGCCTGACCCAGACAGCACCTCGGTGATGTGAGAATTACGATAGGTTGGTAGCCAGTGTATGGTGATCCAACCCTTCGATATCACGCCGGCCAAGAGGGTACGTGTTACACTTTCGGGATAACCAGTCAGATGCGAACAGTCTGGTTCAAGCAAAAGCCGTTGTGACGACGATTGGTTACTGCCTATTTAACCAATGAGAGTTTTTTGTACATATTGTTTAACCCCACCGATTTCTTTCAACAAACTAAATGCAACTTCAGTGACTTTTTCCCTGCGCCTTGGTGTTTGGAGATTTCGACAGGTGAATTAGACCGCATGTGGACTTTTAGTTTTGTCACACAACAGATTGCGTGTTGTGGTTCAAACATGGTGTGAGGGTGGTCAGGTCATCTCAACCAGCGCGGTATGCACATAAGGGTGGGGTTCATTTTTGGGATCAAAACAACAACAAAAATAGCTACCAAATAATCACGCATTCCATGAATTTGTAATCTGGCTGACCAAGTGAAGGTGCACAGACGTATTAGGAAAGCACAATACAACACAAATTCGAATCGCTCAATCTAACAGTATTCCCGTGGTTATTTAAATTTCGATTATTGTTTTGAGCCTTGACTGATTTTTTTACCTTGGTAGCTAGGTAACGATGCAGTGCACTGACAAACCTGCCGTTCAATTTCACTCGTGCGGTGGTCGTGCGACGAGTACGCATGCGCCACGATACAGCTTCTAGGTAGCCAATCTGGAGACAGAGTTCCCGACTAATCTTGCGGTCTCAAGTAGATTCAACCGGAATGGTTGAATGCAAGAAAGCAACCAAATGGGTCATATCGTTGTTGATTGGATATCGAAGAAATTTTCAATGATTATATGAAACTTGTTATTTATTTGCATGATTTTCCGAATAGATGTAACTGTATCGACAGCTCGTCTTGGTTTTATCGGACATGCGCTATCCAGTGGGTTTTCAGTCTGCTAGGAGAGGCCTAACCTTCCCCTGAGAATTCCCACGGTATGCATTTGAAAAGGAATGGGACCAATCGTCACCATCGAAAAGTATCGATGTTACGGGATGCGTGAGCGTTGGGGTAACAGACAGAATACGGCCATCTGACTCGTCCATTTCCCCATCGGCGTTCCCACAACTGCCATGCCGAAAAATTCTAGACTGTGAGCAATCCTATAAACACAGCACGGTGCTCACTTAGTAAATGCACTTGGGCTGGTGCCATCAATGAGCACTCACTGTTTTGCAACTGTCTTTTAACTGGGAAACGCGTTGTGGGATGCGATTCGGTGACAGTTTGGCCTACACTACATAACCCTAGCCCAAGTTTACGCTATTCAAATCCGATAATTAAATCGTGTTCTGGTTTTTATTACACCGCATTGCGAGACGAACAGTAGATCGGACAAACTCCGCAGTTGCGCGAACCTACCGCCGGTGACATAAACCCAGGGTGCTGGATTACCTAACCCCATTGGACTCAACTAGCATAATTGTGATATCGAGCCGGGAAACAGTGAAGTCGCTATCCGCCAAAACCCGGCACATCCAAACACGCGCACACTCAAACGCAACGACTTATTGGCTGAGATTCAATCTAGGCTTACTCTTTGTCCCATGACTTTTCAACCCACAAACCTTCACATTAGCTTGATTTATCCGGATAGCTTCCCAATGACAGTCGCTAGACCGTTAGCAAAACACCCTTCGGTCGAACAAAACGAAATCTGGACTAAGGGGGCGGAAGCCATGAGCGAACGATAGATTACCAGTGGAAACACTGTAGTTCAACGGTTTATATAATTTCCCATTGGTATTTACAACCAAATATTGGAAAAAAATTTGGTTTTTGATTCCTTCGTTGGGCTGTGGAAAGATAAGAGATTTATCAAAACTTCCAACGCATTTGATTTCAGTCTGCACTGTAATAGATTCAAAACGGCGTTTCACAAATTCGCTCCAGTTTTCGATCATTACAGACAACTTGTGGTTCAGCCCAGGGTTGTTTTTCAGTGTTCTGTGATGTCAAAGCCAATTGGAAAACTATCCAAAACAACCTGTAAAGATTATGAACCAAGGTAAACAATGGATCTGGGACTATTCACTAGACTCTGAAAGGCTTAACCGGGCTACTTCTTATAGTGTTCTCGTAGTTAGTTATTTCTGTCAAACGTTAGAATTCGTGACGTATTAATCCCTGATTTAAACAACGTACTTAGCAAATAGCATTTGATGGATATACTTCATACGCAACCTCAACGAATGGAGTTATTTTTACCGTGGATTTGATTAACACCCACCC